GAGCAGCACTTCTGCCTCGCCGCCAGCGGAGCAGAAGGAAGAGAGTGCCATGCAGCCACGGGCTGCGGGCGGACCTCCCTCGCCCCCTGTCCCCCGGCCTCTCGCCGGCCATCCCGTCCCTTGGCCCTCGGTTCCTGCGGCCCTTTGCCGGCCGACTCGCGCGCGGGTCTCCTCGTCGTCGTCGTCGTCGTCGTTGTCGTCGTCGTTGTCGTCGTCGTCGTCGTCGTCGTCGTCGTCGTCGCCATCAGCGTCGACGTCGCCGTCGTCGTCGCCGTCGCCGTCGCCGTCGTCGCCGTCGTCGCCGTCGCCGTCGCTGTCGTCGTCGTCCATCTCGACGCAGGCCACGTTGTGTCGGCGTGCTCCGAGACCCAGCTGGTCCCCGACAGTGATTCACGGGAGCCGTGCGGACGTTTTCCGATTGCCACCGTCTGCGCAGCTTGCCCTGGGGGGTCCAATCGACGCTGGGATATCGGATACCCCTGCTGGGGCTCACGTGCTTGGCATCGTTCGGACGTGTGTATTTTTTTCTCGGCGAGGACCCTCGAGGACCATCCTGGACCATCGAGCAAAAAAAAACACGCACGAAACCGAAAAATGCACGGGAAATGGACGTCCGAGCGACGGCAAGCGTGAGCCGTGCCGACGCTTTCCGGGGACCACCGCGTCCCCCGGACGGACGTCCGAGGCAGGACTCCACGGGTGCGGATTTGCGCAGGTCTGCGGCCGCGCGCGTGCGTTGTGTTCGGGGCGCGCTGCGGCGTGTCGGCGTGGAGCACGCGCTGCTGCCTGCTACCTCTGGCGGCCTCCTCGCCCCTCGTCCAGGGCACTGCTGCGCCCAGTCTCGTGCACGAGCGGCGAGCATATCCATAGCCACGTCCTCGCGGTCCGAGCTGCAGAACGCGATCCCGTGGATACGCGGTCGCATGGATACGAACCGCGCGGGGCGTCCGCGGAAAAGCGCCCCGTATCGCGCGGCCCCGAGGCCCAGCCCGCGAGGCCGTCGATGCGGACACGTCTTCCGGCCACGACTTGTCACCCTCGTCCTCATGTCTTTCCATTCCCCATCAGCGGGCTTCCCCCTCGCTTCTCGGCCGACGCCCTCCCCCGAACACCGCGCGTCTGCGAGCGTTAACGCCGTGATGCGCGACTACAGCAAGCACTGCATCGACGGCAAGTGGATCGAGGCCGCTTGAGCCGCGCGCGCTTGGATGGGGGGGCAGAGCAGGAGGAGGAGGAGGAGGAGGAGGAGGAGGAGCCAGGTAGCTTTTCATTAGTTTTGCCTTCTTGGGGGCCTCCATGGGCCTCGGGAGGCTTGCGGAGGCCTCTGGGGACCCCCAGAGGCCTTCGGGGGACCTCGGGAACCCCGGGACGGGGTCGCCGATCGTCCAGATCAGTGCCGACGCCCACGGGCTGCCGCCGACGGCGGTCTTGTCCTCCTCCTCCTCCTCCTCCTCCTCCGCAGCAGCAAGTCCGCGGCTCAGTTTCGCGGCCCCGTGCTGGCCTACAGCAGACGTCCGAACTCCACGAGCCCGATTCGGCGGCGAGCGAGGGGGGGGAAATGAGAAGGAGAGGGCCTTCTCAGACGGCGGCGGGACTTCTCAGAAGCCCTCGCGCCTTCTGACAACTTGTTTTGGTCTTCGGGGAAGGCCCAGAACACCTCTCAGAAAGCCAAGGGACTTCCGAACCTTCTGAGAAGGCCTTCTCCTTCGCACTGGCCCCCCGCGGCCGGTCGCAGACCGACCGATCCCGATCCCATCCGACCCCCAGCACGTCCCGTGCACAGGGCCTGGGGTGCGGGCCCCGCTCTCGGGGCTCCGGGCGCGCCCCTGCGGGGTGCCCGCAGAAAGGCGCGGCCGAGGTGCCACGCCCCTCCTGGGCGGGCGGGCGCGGCGCGGCGCGGCGCATGTGCCCGTCTCGGAGCCCCGGGCACATGCGAGGCGCTGTGAGCCGAGCTAGCGTTTATAGTTACGCATACACACCACTGGGTGGCCTTTTTGGGGGCTGCCGCCGTTCCTCTTCCCTGGTGGGCAGCAGCGCAGAGACGGTAGTGGACAGACACGAAGCGGGAAGCCAAGGCCAGACAAGATGAGCAAAGATGGCAGAAGTCAGGGCTCAAGAGACCAGGGCCCATGCAAACGGGGATCAGCCAGAGCGCCGGATCTTGCGGGATCTTGCTGAGCCACGAGGGCATTGACATTGCTTGCGCGTCAGATCCTGCAGGATCGTGCAAAGCCTGGCTGACCCGGGTTTGCATTGACCCTGGTCAGTGCGTCTCCGAGTCAGCACGTTCTTTTGGCTCTCCTGGCTGCAACACAGCCGTCGGCGCATTCGGGGCTCCGTGCGAGCTCTACCAGATCCTCCTCCATCCCTTCTCCGTGTAATCAACGCCTCCTTGTCGCACCCCGTGACGTATCAGAAGGGCGGGCCGGGCGTTTGCTTTCTCGCCGTTGCACGGATGGAGGGCGGGTGGTTTTCAAATTGTGGTTCTCGCGTTAGATCCACGGACGTTCGCCTTAAAAGTTTGCAGCAGTTTCATATATATATATATAAAGATATATAGGGTGGTTATGTTTCACAATGCGGTTCTCGCTTCAGCGCCGCGCACATTCGACTCAGAAGTTTGCATCAGCTTCAAGGATGGAGGGCGGTTCCTTGTCAATGTGTAGCTCTCACCTTCGCCCTTCGCGCAGTGCACTTTCGTTTCAAAAGTTCACAACGGCTTCAAGGGTGGTGGGCGGCTCCTTCCTTGTCAAGATGTGGCTGTCGCTTCACCTCCGCGCACCTTAGTTTGAAATGCCTGCGACAGTTTCAGGGATACGCGTGGTGAGGTCCCAGGAATAGTGTTCTGACGGGACTGATGATCGTCAGGACGCGACAATCACGTTGATTCGTGGTGTAGAAGGCCCAGTAACGCTTGGCATCGCTCGGACGTGTGTATTTTTCCTTCGGCGAGGACCATCGAGAAGCATCCTTCATCATTTGGCAAAAAAAAACCACGCGCGAAATTGAAAAAAGCACAGGGAATGGACGTCCGAGCGATGGCCAGTGTTCTGACGGGACGTATGATCGTCAGGACGCGACAGTCGCGTTGACTCGCGGTGTAGAGGGCCCAGGAACGGTGTCCTGGCACGGAGTCGGGCTACCAGGACGTAACAGTCACGCTGATCCACGGCGTTGACGTCCCAGGGATGGCATTCGGACACGATTGAGGATCCTCGGACGATGGTGTTTTAATACAGTCGGGGCGCTCGTTGGGGAGGGGCTTGGTGTTCCTTGATTGTTTCAAAGTTTGCCTCGGGTTTTCCTGAGGTGTCCCATGGGAAATCGAGGTTGAACTTACGGGAAAAAGGAGCCTCGTTCCTTAGTTAGGGTTCCTTAGGTCAACGCCCCGACTATAAGCCGTTCCCCGCATCGAAAATAAATTCTTCTGGGGAATTATGAGGGGGGATTTCGGAGGGATGGCTGTTTGCAAGCATCGTTGACGCGTATTGGATTTACACTGGTCCTGTTCCTCCTCCTCCTCCTTCTCGCCCTCCCTCTCCCCTCCTTCCTTCCTTCCTTCCTTCCACCCTCCTCGTACCTGGAGGAGGCGGAAGAGGAGGAGGAGGTTTTCGTTTGGGCTGTCGGCGAAGACGACCCTGGGTCCGAGTGAACGGATCGCGCCGCATCGCGAACGCATCGGCAACGATGCGGCCCGATGTGGAGTTCGATCCGTATATATACATATGTATGTATGTATGTATGTATGTATGTATGTATGTATGTATGTATGTATGTATGTATGTATGTATATATATACATATATATACACTCTCTCTCTCGCTCGACGTCGCCACTGCGTCGCCGACGCATCGGCGATGCAGTGCGGTCCCCCGACACCAGTTACGCAGCCCCTATTCTGGCGGCCTCCGACGACGTGAGGTGAGTTCCACAGAGACGCCTTCAAGCTATGCAGTGAAAACCCATGCCAAGGAGCACCCTGCTTGCCTCCAGGGTGCCCTGGGCGTCCTGGGATTCGACGATTTGACGGTGGAAAGCGCGACGTTCCCACACCAAAAGTCGATGGACGCCTTGGGGTCTCAGGGTTGGGTTTCTTGTGGAAGCTTTCTTGTGGATTGGCCTCCATTGTGTTGCCAAGCCTGTGATCTCGGCCCACAGATCGACGCCTCGAAAGAGGTCCACGCGTTGCCGAAAAAGGGCAAGGCCGCGCGAGGGCCCCGCTGGCCCGCGGCCAGACGAGGGTGCGCAGTGGGAGAGAAGGGCGCGATGCCTGGCCCTCGACGTTTGAGACAGTCGACCCGCATAGTAAGGCTTAAGTCTGGCGTGCCCCTCTACAGGAGGAATCTTCAAAAATAGTAAAATTTTCGGGGGACGAGTTTTCGATTGTTGAAGCTATTGTTAAGCATGGCTTGGTTATTTCCATTTTTCTTCCCCAACGCGCCTGTAGGAGGACATGCCCGACCCAAAGGAAGGATAAGCGACTTTCCCAGGGGGGCCCTCGCATCCTTCCCCTCTCGGCCCGTCCTTGGCCGCTTTCGCTGGCCGCGCCCCGCCCGCAGAGGGCCGACAGGGCCTCCAGAGGCCCTCTGCGTCCCTCGGACGTGCCGAACAGCTGTACAGTCGGACCGAGGCATAAGATCGAGGTCGGTTCGGGGAGGGTACTCCGATGTTCTTCGTGGCTGTCGGATGCTTCTGTGCACCCCGATGCTCTGCGTATGTTGGCCGACGGAGGGCTTCATGTTCTTGAGGCATGTTCTTCTGGCCTGGGTCCGACTGTGCACACGCAGATTCGACCCTTCCGGAACACCATTTCCTCACTCAGATTCTCTCGGGGTTTTCTGTTGGTCCACTCTTCACGGCGATGTGGCAGGCGTGGCGTTTGGGCACCCCAAGGGGGAGCCGCCAGTGACGAACACACAATCCAGGATGCGCGACCAGACTGTGTGGATGTTTCAGGCGACTTGCCTGTTCCTGCCCTCCAGGCTCTCCTCGTGCGGCTC